CGGCCAGAGGCAACATGGCGGCGGCAAACAGACAGGGGTGCCGTACTAGCTGTGATCGGCTCAGTTTTTTCACCCAGTCTGATAAGAGGAAAAACTCTAATAGCTGTCTATTAGTAGCTAACTGACGTTTTGTTATTCTATCTGTTTAACAAAAAAAAAATTCCTCATTCAGCCGGGAACAGCGCTGAGTGCAGCCGTTGTGTCATGTGACCAAATTAGCAATCATTGGCTAGAAGCTGCTTGACTCTATCGAGTGAAGATTGTTTTGGCTTGAGTTCATCAAAAGGTCAACACTTTTACGGCAGAATTTTTGCAGCTGAATTTTTTTCTGGTGAATTTTTATCAGATAAAAATTGAGTGTAAGGAATTAAATGTCTAAAAAAATTAAGTGTTTAAAATTTGGTGTTAAAAAAATTCAGTTTTTAAAATTCGTTGTTAAAAAAATTCAGTGTTTAAAATACGGTGTTACAAAAAGATAGATTCCAATGAGACTGTTTTTTTTCTCCATAGAATTCTGACATTTTTTTTCCCATATTACACTGAAATAATATTTAAACATCAGTTAATTTTTTTTATTTTTTCAGTGGCCCTAATCCACTTCCATACAGACGATCAAGTGGAAATGGATGAACTGGAAGTAGAGGAGGTGGAAATAGACGAAGTGGAAAAAGGACAGAAGGGGGGGAAAAAAGGGGCAGGCGAAAATCCTTTGCGTAAAAAAACTGTTTGAACAGTTAGAGGCAGAAATAAATCATTGTTTCAGAAATAAAAGGATGTTAAAATAATATGAAAAAAAATGTATGGTGGATTAAAAACATGCTTTAAAAATGTTGTGGTGTAAATCAGTATGAAACATTATTTGCTCTTCCGTTTTGCTTTAAAAAAAATTTTCTGCTAACTAAAACTGGTCTATTCATGATACTTTCTCATCTCCTAATTTTTATAGTTGTCAATGTACATCAGACAACCGTAGTAAAGAATATATGGATTTGACGCTGTTATCCAATGTAAACAAACCTCTTCATCACTTGAAAAAACAGGTAAAACCATTGTTGAAGAAGCCAATTTCTATCATAATGACCTCCGTATTGTTGGAGGGGAAGAAGCACTGGGGGGGAAGCGGTTTATTAGACTTATGCTGCTCTCAGCAGGGATTTTGGTCCACTCTTCATAAGCAAACTGCTCTAGAAGTCTAACGTTGGAAGGATGCCTATTCCAGACATCATTGGTTCAGCTCCTTCCAAAGATACTTGTATGATTTAGGTTAAGGCTCATAGAAGGCCCCTTCAGAATAGTCAAAGATTTCCTCCTAGCCATTCTTGGATGTTTTCAGCTGAGTGTTTTGGGTCATTATCGATTTGAAGTCCCATGACATCCGACTGAGACCAAGCTTTCTGACACTTGGCAGCACAATTCTCTCTAGTATCCTTTGATAGTGTTCAGATTATATTGTACTCTGCAGAGATCCAAGACATCCTGTGCCAAATGAAGCAAAGAAGCTCCAGAACATCATAAGGCCTCTTCCAAATTTCTTGGTAGGAAGAGTGTTATTTTCTTGACATGCCCTGTTAACATAGAGCTGATATGCCTTGGCAAAAAGGTCAGTTTTTGTCTCATCTGTTAATAGAACATTCTCCCAGAAGCTTTCTGGTTGGTGAATCTGTAGCTTGGATAATCTAAGGGTTTTCTAAGTGTCCTCCTTGGTTGTCTCCCATTAGATCCATGGACCTTAAATTTCCGTATAACATGTACAACAATAGTCCCAGGAACATTAAGCTGCTTAGGGGTGATCTGATAGCCTTTAACTTTAACATGCTTGTTAGGTTGGAGACATCATTCCCTCCGAGTCTATAGAATGAAGGGAACCATAAAGAGGGTAGATAAACCAGGTCGTTAGAAAAAGACCAAGTGTGCCGTCCCCATCTGTCTTTGGACAGGTGATTAATTTTGATGTTTTTGTCTGACCAGGTCCAAATATGTTCACCTCCACCTTCTTTTACTTTAAGGGAATGACTTAATTTATTTTTTCTCGTGCCATTTCTCTCTCTCTATATCCAATGATCGTCTTCAACTTCCATGACTCAACTTTTCAATCAGGTCGGCACACTATTCCTGTGACAGTTCCTGCCACCTATAGCCATTCTCTACCTTTGTATTGCAGAGGAGCTAAGGCGCATGTACAACTTTTAACGAGAGTCAATGGCCAAAGTTTTTTACCCCCAGGGTAGAAATACATCACCAATCCGAAACAGCTCCAAAACAGCTTTACTTGTCAATATTAAATATTTATTTTGCACATCTAAAACAATATATAGATATATTTCAAAATATTTTAATTGTATAATTTGATTTTTATTTCATGATTTTTATGTCTTAATCAAGGTCATTGGGTGGGTGCCACGGTGCTCTAGTGCCTGGATGGATGGATAATCTTCTCTGTGTTTAAAAAATGTCTTAGTGTCTGATTCAGCTGAAACATAAACTGGAATGATAAGATTATGATCTAAAAGCTGACATACAACATTCTGCCACCCTCAGGGTCAATGACTAAGCATCACATGCAGGAACATAAACCACTCAACATGGATTTTTTTTAGTTTAGTTTTTTTTTTTTTTGCATTTAGCTTCCTCAAGTGAGATTATAATAATATAAAAAATACCAACAAAAAAAGGAACTTGTTAAAATACATCAAGCAAAACTTGCAATTTGGGAGGCAACTGAATAAATGACAAAACTATTAAAGGTATAGATGACAATCTTTTATTTCCAGTGGATCATCTAAATAAGTGGTCATCCTAATTGTCAATCATTCTGGTGATATGTTTAACTAAGGCCATCCTACCTGTTCGTTCCGTTAGCTATTTTCTTATATGAATGCGCACTTTCAGCTGTATATCTGTGGTGAGCTCTGGTTTAAGCCAGTCATTGAAGCTCACCTTTTCTTTAAAAATGGCCGAGGTCACAAGAGAATAATTTTCTAGAAAGAGTATAAGAAGAAATGAAAGGCCTCAGAAGAGCCAGATATATCCCGGAGAGCTCTCCTTGCAAAGCAATATGGGATTTGCTGTCACAGCGGCCCTCTGTCACCATAGGCTTTCATCACTACCTGACAGCGGCGACTAATAACAAAGATGGCACAGGCACCGTGCAGTGGACCAATGGGGAAGTGATCATCTGTACTAACAGAAGGCTAAGTGAGTTTGCAATATAGTCCACTACATAAAGGGATTTAGGGGTTAGGGTGTATGTTCTAACACAGTAAGCTTGTATGAGCTATGAGAATGGAACTTTTAAACAAAGCGTGCACAAAGAGAAATGGGCTCGTACAATAATTTAAACTTATTGTACATTTTAGCTCCCTTTACCTCTGTTCCAAAATGTTCTATTACAGAAGGCTCTTTGAACTGTTTCTGCATCTATAGTCTTAGCTAAAACTGTACCTAGCATTCAGCATTGCTCATCTTCGGTTTATGTAGTTGCCAGATCTATGTAAAACTTTTTGTTGCACAGCACTTCCAAAGGTATCCCATAAAATGTAATTACGAGTCAATTTATATAATGATTATTTTCAATATTATTGATAGAAAATATGAATTATTGTAAGATGTATGCAAAGGAGATACCCAACTTAGGACCTGTCAGCACATGCTAAAAATGCAAAAAAAATCAAAGGAAAGTTGAGCTAAAATATTAACTCATGTTTTATTGGCACAGTTTGTCATATTCTCAGAGCTGTGTGCAGGTTTTGGGTGTGCTCTCTAACCTATCCTTGCAAGTTCTATCAGCAGAGTGGCAGTCTTCTGATCTTTGACTTCAGTCAGGAGGTGTTTAAGGGGAGCTGAAACCGAGAGACAGATGCAAGTTTATCTTTGCTAGCAGCAGGTTTTCCAGGCTGAATATTAATTTGACCTCCTCCCTAAAATGCATTTAGAAAGATTAATCCTGTTGTTTCTCCCATTTTTTTTTAGACTATCTTAAACCTAAATCCAAGCTATCCAGGGGTCCATTTCGGGAAGCAGGTTTACCGAAAACGTCAAAACCTGAAAACAGGGAAACTCTTATTTTTCCAGTTCACAAGAAGAGTTTCCTCAACCTCTGCTTCACTCACTAACATTCCCCGCAGAGCTAACCTGGTTGGAGCAAGTTTTCTTCAGTTAACTAAGATGGTCTTTGTTCCAAAGGAGGGTTTTTGTAGTTCGCCAGTTTGGCAGTATTTCGGTTATGGCAAGTCGGACAAAAAACAAACCACAGTCATCTGTAAAATGGGTAGGGAACCGGTGAAAACCAAGTCTGATAACAAAACCAACTTTTTTTTTTTTTTATCATCTCAGCCGCTCACACCCGCAGGAGTACGAGCTGTGTAGGCCCTGGCGCGGCTCTCCTCCGAGGAATCTTAGGGAATTTCGGGAAAATATGATCTATGACTCATGCCATATTGTTTTTTATGTGTTCATTAACTGGGCCACTTAAAAAAAAAAAAGAAAATATATTTGTCAGAACCACATAGTTTATTATTCAGAAAAAATACATAAGGATGGAGGATTTTTATTTTTCCCCCAATTGAAGAGAGTCAAGCTAAGCTTGTGGTTGTTAGACAGAAAGTCTCTCTCTCTCTCTCTATATATATATATATATATATATATATATATATATATATATATATATATATATATATATATATATATATATATATATAGGTCTACGTGTATATATTTATATTATCTTGTGTGGTATTTCTGATACAGCAAAAGATACCTTGAGAAAAAACAGACTCTGAAAAATGTCTGCAAGTAGAAGACTTTTCTTCAAGGAGCTTAGACATTTGTTGCTGGCACCACCCTTTGCATAAATCTGATAACATTGTTTACCACGACCTGTTCTGATCAGTTCTGATTATTTTTAGTTTTGATTCCTTCATGGCACAGAGGAAGAGTGAAAGCAATTTAGTTTCAGAAATATTTTTGAAAAGGAAGAACAAGCCAAAACAAATGATACCAAACACATTTCAAATATTTTTTATTATTAACCCTTCATTTGGTAACATTGATTGAAAATTATTACTGCACTTTTTTCATTTGGGAAAAGTAAAATTAATAATTTATGCTTTTTTTTCTAAATGATGTGCTTCAAATAATAAGGGCTGCAAGTCCACCAAGAGTTCCCCCAGCTGTGGCCACTCCTGCTGTGGCAGCAGTACCCAAGCCTGCCATGCCTGCAAGTAAACGGTATATGTAGATTATTAACGCTTATAACAATTCATATTTGTGATGCATTATTTTTCCTGTTAGAAGTGTTAAGAGGGAGAGTCTAATATGGGGATTTTACCTGCTGATTGCAAAACAGCAACAAGTGATCCAGCTGCAATTCCTCCTCCATTAGCAACGGCTGCTGTAGACATCATGCTCGCAGCCACTGAACCGGCAGCAATTCCGACTGAGGTGAAACCAATGGCTCCCAAAACCACAGGGGCCGTCGCCACGGCGCCTCCTAATGTGGACAAGAAAAACTTTATATTTAAAGAGACAGCTATGAAAACTCATTAAGAAAAAACAGTGTTAAATCTCACCTACACCAAGAGCAGCAGCTCCAAAAGTGACTAAAATGAAAAACAGAGGAAAGAGCATCAAACTGAAACTCAGCAAGTATTTAAAAAGAATGACACATCATTTTCTGTCATGACTTAACTAGAACATGAATATGAGTATTTAAAGAAAGCCTATACTTACGGAGTCCCATGTCTACAGATTCTTCTTTACAGGTGATGTTTATTGGTGGCTGGGAAACAATGAATGAGCATCCAAAGAAGTCTTGGCTTTATATAGGATGGATAGAATCCTGAAAAAAAAAAAAAAGTTTACAAGGTCACCTTATACAGTCCTGCTCCTTTCATATAAATGTGTGCTTTCTGCTGCTCCCTGCTGTTCAGATATTGCTATTAGGTTTCATTTCTTAGTAAACAAAGGCAATTGTTGCTCCGGTGCAATTGTTTTTTCCTGAGAAATTTCTATTTCTGTATGTATTTCTAACACAGCCTCACTCTTACATCATTACATCATCCTCTGAATGATCCATACGCCCTAACCAACTTCATGGTTTAGAATGGCCCTTAATATGGCGGACCCTCCAGAGAACGCGCAAACAGAGGGTTAGTGCTTAGGGTTAGTGTTTAGTGGCAAGTTTGGGATTGGGCTTAGTATCTGTCTGAGAAAAAAGTTTTATTTGAGTCTAACAAGATGGACGGACGGAAGGACGAACAGACAGATAGATAGATAGGTGATATTAATCATTTGCAATGTATTGTTAAGGTGCAAAACAGTCACCAGCATTTATGAGTAACTATTTTTCTGAACTCTACACATATCCTAATAAATAGTCTCTGGAATGAAAATGATCTAATGTAACTGAAATACTTTATTTTGCTTTAAATATAATTATGTTGTTTATTGTTTTACTGTTGCTGTTTGTATTTTTTAAATGAGGAGTTTCCTGCTCATCATTCATGGCTTAAAAAAAACTTTTGTCACTGTGTACATAAGTTGGAGACATAACATACGTCAACTGCTTATATATTTGCTCAGTGAATCAATATCAATAGACAGAGTTTCTGGCAATCGTTTCTCCAATATCTGATTCAGTTTACTGTAGGGGACCAATAAACATAAGACCCAAAATGCTCCTAGTGTTCAGATTACTGTGTTCAGTTGTAAGACATGTTTCTACCTGTTATTTCACAGAAGTTGGGATTACTTTACAGAACTTGCCAGGATATTGCTGGAATATTAACCCAATAATATACACATAAAGCTGAAGTATAATGACAATATTTGTTTCCACAACACAAGAAGTTCATTATCTCCCCTTTTGCCAACATATTTCAAACTAACCCATCAGTAGAAGAAAAACAAAAACACATCCTAAAGAGATTTGAATCAATCATTAAGAAAAATTCAAAGAAGTCATTGTTTTTTCATCTTTGTTTAATTGCAAAAATATTTTAAAACCTTGATAAGTTAAGCAATTGCTCAACAAGAGGTGTTCTCTGGAGAGATTAAAATCAAACAAATGCACTGTGAAATGAAATGATCTGGTATGACGTCAACTGGCTTTATGTTAATGATCTATCTCCATAATGTATAAGAAGTTGGCTTTAACTATCAATTAATCCAATCACTGTTTTGTTTCTGTCTGTGCAGGAGATGAAGCTATGATGATTTCTTGGAAATCTTACAATGCTGTGTGGAAAAAGTACAAAGGAGAATACAGGATTATGGTGAAATTAATTTTAAGTTGGATAAAAATCTCAGGCTTTGGTAGAAAAATTATTTTCACTGGAGTAAAGCTGAATGCTAAATGAGAAGGTCTGGACTGTTAACGGTACAGAAACATATTTTCCATAATAAAGATGAGACTTGTTTTTTAGAAAGGATGTCTAGGAACTCGTAGGTTCCCAACAAAGCTTTAGGAATTAGCTGCTAAGTTCAGGGAAGCTGCAGGCTGTTTAATGAGAGGCTGATGTACCTCTGTCCATTATAACATTTAAAAAATTCTGGATAAATTAGTATGGGACAATTTCTTGTCCTTTTCCTTCATCTGCATCATCCTCATCATCATCACCACTATCTTTTTCTCCTTTCATCTGATCCTTTCTCATCATCTTCTCCTCCTGCTTCTTCTCTTCCTTGTCCCCAGCTTTCTCTTTCTCCTCCTGTGGATTACCTGGCGGACTTCCTGCAGCAGCTCCAAGACCAGCACCAATGCCAGAACCAACACTGGCCACAGCTGCAGAGGCGGTCGCTGAGAGACCAGCAGCACCTGCAGAAAACCAAACATCTCCAAAAAAATTTTCAAATGTTCAAACAACAGATGAACTCTGATGGGTGCAACCTGAACCAAATTTAACAAAGCCAGACCGTGTATTTGCTGGTTGTGTCACAGATGAAGCTTAAAGTAGCCTACTAGATCCTAGATTTAACTTTAAAGTGCTCAGTTGGGAATTTTTATGCCAAAGTATAAATGTGTCTGTCCATCCATCTCCTTGCTGGAGCCAATTTGTACTGGTCATTCTGCACACAGGCTGGGAAAGGGCAATTAAGGGAAATCAATTAACGTAAATCATCTAATTACTTAACCGTTTTTGGACTGTGAGGGGAAGCATAAGTGCTTGTAGTGAGATCCCACACATGCACGAGAAGAACATGCAGACTCTACACAGGAATGTCCCAGGCAGCCATTCAGGCCTCCTTGTTGTAAGGCTGCAGTATTAGTGACAGGCCTCTGCATACAGTTGTGAACAAAATTATACTGTAGGAGCATAAAAAAACAGCTGAGCTGTAAATGGTTTGCATCGTAGCTTAGGATTTAAGCTGAAAAATGCAATGATTTAGGTTTTCTGTGAATCTCTGTGTTAATATTTAGTTGTGGAGGCATTGTTTCGAAGAACTACTGGGAATTGAGCTGCATTGGGTGAACAAGCTTCTGGTTTCGTTGAACAGATTTGTAACCACCAGACACTGCATGCTTTTCATGCATTTATTTGTTTAGGATGATCATTACAGTAGATGTCAATCCTTCAGTTGTTTCATGTCATTCTCTGGTTGCAGGCAAAGCAAGTAGCATGTTGTTCACTTTAATAATGGTGATATCTTAGTTCCACAATGATATTGTTACATTTTATGGTATGCCTGTTGGGCGTACTCCAAAAGACTATTATTTGTACACTTGTGAAAATGCAGAAAATTGTGAACAACCCTTTTTTTTTTAGGATGCTCTATAATCGTTGAAAACAAAAAAACACACAAAAACGGATCTCGACACAATAAGATGCTACGCTGTTTTACTTTAGTACACCTTCTGGTAAGTTATTTACCTACTAGGAAGATGTCATTCAAAAAAAGTAAAAAAAAAACAAAAACATTCACAGGACTTTGTTTCCAAATTGAGGACGTTTTGCTTCCAATCCAGGAAGCTTTATCAATTCAAAACAGCGTCAGAAATAGCCCCTTTGGAATGGAGTCATTTGGTTTCTTTTTCGTTTTGGTCCACTCTATGAAGCCTCAAAGTAAAAGCTATTTCTGACATTTTGAATTGAAAAAGCTTCCTGGATGGGAAGTGGATCGTCTTCAAACCTGGAAACAAAGTGCAGTGGATTGTTTTTGACTTTTTTGGAATTACTATGACCTGGATTACTGAAAATCTTCACCAGCAAACGAGAAATATGATCCCAACCAAAGACATTGAAATAGTTAGTGATGCTAAACCGCTCCTATTTTGAACAGAACTTTACTTGTTCTTGATTTATGCAGTAATTCAGTTAAATCCAGCCAATGTACCTGCAGATTGTAGAACAGCCACCAGACTTCCTGCTGCCACCGCTCCTCCGTTGGCAACAGCAGCAGCAGACATCATGCTTGCAGCAAAGGAGCCTCCTGCTATCCCAGCTGAGGTGAAACCAATGGCTCCCAGAACCACAGGAGCCAAGGCCACCGCACCCAGTCCTCCCATCACTCAAGAACAAGAAATATTTAACATTAAAATGTGTTTAACACTTGCAACATCTTTTTCTTCATAGTTTGTTCTTTTCTAGGATGCTTTGTTTTTAATCATTATTTTGTCAGTGATCCAGTTTAGACCAAACACCAGCTGCCAAAGATGCATGATTCACATTTAGATGTACATTATTTCCCTCACTGATCATTGGCTCAATTAGTAACAGATAGTATTTTTGTCAATTTTTTGCATTTGGTTTTTGACAAACATGCTGCTGAAGTTTATGAGGAAACCTTTTTGTTTTAGCGTTGACTGTCCGAAGGACACTGACCATCCAAAAGACTTCAGGTTAATTTAACTGCATTTCACAAACCTAAGGTGTCCTGTGATACTTTTAGAAAGGAGAAAGGTTCTCCATATTCCCCATCGGTGGATTGATGAGTCCTGATCTTGTTTTGAAATTCATGCAATGTCAAACTCCTGCAGAAGATTGGTTAATTTCTCAAATGCTTTACAAGTTTAAATAATCACTCTGAATGTAGAAATATAAACCGTTTGGACACCTGTCCTAGATTGACGCAATTGTATAGAAAACATTTCTGAAGTTTTAATCTAAATACCTTGTTTGCAGAAGTAAAACTATATTATTTATTGTCCAGGTAATTTACCCAAAGTATAGACCAATTTATTTGTGGTATTTACAAATAATTATATAAAATCCTTATTTCTGACCACTTGCCACCAAGCTGATATATTATATATTTGACATCTTTTAAAGTAGAGCATGTATGCAGTGGCTCCCAAAGTGGGGGGATCTAAATCTTGAAATAAATGCATCTTTTAGAACTTTTATACAAACCTTTTATGAATATTTGTTTCGACCTTTGAAGCTTTGGTGATCATAATTTATAAGTTATACTTTTAATGTATAATGATTCAGGTCATACTTTGTTACCTCAGTTTTATTTCTCTAGTAAAAACTTTCTCTTACGGTTACAGATCTGAGTGACGCCACAATAATAAAAAATGTAAAAAAAAATTCAAACTTAAATCATACCTGTACCTCCTACAATGGCGACAGACTTCCCTGAAACACAAGAATAATATTAAAATGTAGTTTTCATCTATGGCCTGTAGTAAACAGATAGAAAGATTGACTTGTCTGGGCTACAAGGAATTTTAGCTCCAGCAGATGTCAGTATTTGCCTCATTTTTGTCATGTTATTTTGTAATGAATCATAAAAACAGAGATACTTTCTTTCTCTTATTGTGCAGTACTGTTATCTTCTGACAGATGCTTTGATCCTTTTTTCAGAAACAATCGTCAAGGAAGCTGTTTTAAAATCAAAATGTGCAAGGCTGTGAAGAATTTGGGGCTTTGTTAATTTTAATTCAGCATATTTGTACAGCTGGAATTCACAACACGTCATCTAAAGGCACTTCAATCTGAAAAACTCACATGAAGAGAAAAGACAATTAAGAGAAATGTATTGATACAATTAGGCTACTGTCTTTGGTGCTCAGACCTCGGCAGGAAACAGCGCTTAATTTTGATAGATATGCATGAACAGGAGCAAAGAATAGGGCTGTTTACCCCCAGGCCTGAAACTGGTGGTGGAGTGGAGATAGATGAAGTTGGTCAGTCTGTAGACTGCTGGTTAGTGATTTTACCTCTGCACAACAGAGCACAGCCGGAAGTACTGGTGTAGTTTGATAAGTAAGCTGTGCGTCCAACCCCCCCCCCAAAAAAGAAAAACAAAACTACTGCAGGTCACCTAGACTTTTCAGTGGCTTCCTACTCCCACAAGTACAGATGTACTAGAGCTGACTCATCAGATTGAGTCATTAAGATCCGGGACAACCCAGCCCCCCAGGACATTGTCTTTACATCAACCATTTATCAAACAACATTCTTTACTGTATCTGACATTAACGTTGATGAAAAGAAAGTTAATTGTATGTTGAAAAATCAACCTGTCTGTATTTGGGACAGAGAGGAAAACGTACAGATGACCGAATGTATGTGAATAATGGCTGAGGCAAACAATTTATCACAGATTTTCTCATTTTTATGACCAAGTTCAGCTGAATTTATGATGTAGAATAATCCAGAAAGACTGCAAAATAGAACAGTTCCATGTCGTATAATTTACATTTTATCACCGGATTCATTCTTGACTCAATCCTACCTGATATCCAAGAAAAGTAGCCTTCTCCTTCTGAGTTTTCCTCAGGAGAGTCCTGGGCTGGAGGCTGCTGCTGCTGGGGGTCTAAAGGGAGCAAACCAGGTGATATTTATCATCCCTATGTTTAGAGCAACACATTAAAACGATTTGTTCCCATTCATGTCGATGAAATCAATTTATTAGATGGCTAAAAAGTTTACCTTCTTATCAATAAAAATCAACATAAATAATGTGTTAGCATGTGAATGTGCACCTAACAGGGAGCAAGGGCCATAAACGCAACTCAAACTCAAAGTCAAAACTTTAACATTCTACTGTGCCATATTTATCAGATACAAAATAAGAAAATATACCAAATGGGAAAATATTGATTATTGCTAATAGATGTAAAACAGTTTTAGTGAATTCGCAGCATCAAGTCTAACTGTGATGGATCTTGATGGGCATTTAGAAATAATGACTAAATGAATTCAAGTATTAACAGAAGCAGAGCAATGACTCAAATATGCACAAAAAATAAATCAGTTTTCTTTTAATAAGAACATAAATATAATCATCAAATCCTGAAAGAAAACAGATTTTGATAGGGATGTTATGTTGAATTTGCACTTCAGCCCAACATAAAACTTTTTTTTAATCTAGAAATGAAGTAATCTCTTAATCTGATGAATGACTGCTATGCTGACAACTATTGTTAAAATTGTCTTCGAATTGTCCATTTTAATTACTTGATATAACTTTCATTACATGTTAGATACGAACACTTTTATCATTGCATTACTAAATTGAATATTTTAAAAACAAATAGATAGGGAATATATTTACCCTATTTGTAAAATTTGTATCTGTTAGCATTTTTATTTTTAATTATAGGATCTCATCTTTATAGGTGCTGTCTCAATTTAGCTCAGGCTGCTGCATGCAGAAAGCTAAGGCCTGTTTTATTTATCAAAAAATCAGCTGTTCTGGTGTGATCTTCTCTTTGATTCCAGTTTTAAATAATTACGCTCCCGTAGACTACAAAATATTGAGCACATCATTTTTTTTTCTGTGCCACACATAAATTAAAACAATTTCCCACATTTGACTTGGACATATTATGAAAAGTTATTAATAATAAATAAATACATAGATAACCACTGGCACAGATATAAAGTAAACCCCCACTTATTGACTCTGTGCAGCATCTCAAAGCAGAATTTTTATAGGCCTATATTAAAAACAGAATGGGAACTGCATCTAAAGAACAGAAAAGAAAAAAATAATAAATGTAGGCAGATCTGTGAAGTTTGTCAAAGTTTTTGTTTTCCTGTTGCTATCATAAACAGGGGAGAATGATATCTGCTCCTTGTTGTTTTTATTGAGGCTTTATCAGTTTTCCGCCTTCCTGTCCTCATATCATAAGTAAAGTATTTTATTTTTTAATGTTTCATTAAGAAACTTTTTCAAGGGTCTGTCCTGCTTGCTATATACCAGATGTGTGACTTGAAACCTGACTGTTTTCCCATTGCAATTATTTTTATTTCATATTTTTCCCGAAAGTGGAAAAGTAAAATCATATACCAGATCAAAAAAACAAACTTATCAGCAGATATAAAATGTTAACTTTACCCAATTCAAAGACCGATTAAGAATAGTGTAAGCGTTTAATGAACCAGATGTAGGCTACTCACGCATGTCAGCACGATCACCGCACAGTAGTGAAGTTATGGGATCAACCAAGGCTTCCAATAACCCCTGACTGTAGAGAGCACAGCAGGGCGAGGCTCAACTGTGAATCAAGTCCGGATCTGTGACTCAGGCCACATTTTGGGGGCCATCTAGTAGCGGAAATTATTCAACCCTTTCACAGACAGCAATGCTGTTCGGTTTATTCCACGGTTCATGTCCTGGATCCTAGCGGCCAGTGGAAAGAAGGTTTTTTGTGTCGGTCTTGTCTCCTAATCGTTTTGGCTCTATACGCGAGGAGGATCAGTTTTTATTCCAGTAAGCCTGGCTCCAAGGTGGAGACCAGTTTAAAGGTCCTGCTCAAGTTCGGTTCCATGTCCTGTCTTTGCTACCATCTTCCACTAAGGCCTGTTCGTCTGCACCTGATCCTGTCTGCTCCTGTGCGTGTCTGCTTGGTCACACTTCTGGACTCTGAACCTGCCTGGGAGCTCTAGGATGCCTGGATCCTGCCTGTTCTGAATCCCTGTCCAGGATCGGCTTCCTGCAAGTTCTCTGGGACTGCTGCACTGGGGACACTCAGTGACATATGCTGCGTCTGTCTTCAATCCAGCGGCTGCATTGCGCCCCTTTCCAGGGAGATGGACTGGACTGTTGAACCAGGTAAGTGACTCACTGAGATCATCATCTTCTGTCAGATGATTTTGGTCACTTACCTGTGTTTCTCCCACCAGTGTCTGAGATTGGGTGGTGCCCTGCCCCCCTCCTGCAGCATCCGCGAAACACAGAGCCTAGCAGCTCCACTTTAGGTTTGTTTTCAATTAATAAACTTTTTGAACTTTCCTACTGACTGTCTCTCCTTGAATACTGGGTCCATCTGTCTCGCATTCATTACAGTAGACTGCTGGAAGAAGCACAGTGAACTGTGACAGAAAAGTGCAAAAGTGAAAAAAACAGTCTCTGAAAAATGTCTGCAAGTAGAAGACTTTCCTTCAATTGTCTCTGGCACCACCCTTTGCAAAAACCTGATAACATTGTTTACCATTATCTGCTCTGATCAATTAATATAATTGTAATTGTATAATTGTAAATATATAAACTAATAATAACCTTTTTTTTTTTTGATTCCTCCGTGGTACAGATGAAAAGTCAGAGGATACCCACATCTGAAAGCAATTTACTTCCTGTCGGATCTGGAGATTCTCCACCTTCTCCAGCAGAGTGCGCTGTGGATCCTCCTGGGCAGGAGCCCTCCAGCACAGCTGATGTTCATCAGCTCATCAGGAGACCTGCCTTTATAAGCAGCTGCCAGACCTTTCTTCGACGCCGCAGTGTTAGCCAAGTTTGGTTAGCGAACCTGAGCCTCTGAATTTACTAATCGTTATCTTTTTAGAGAAACCTAATTCTAATTGCCTCTGTCTTCTCGCTCCTAGGAAACCAGTCTCTCGAGAAAACCTCTGGATGAGCTTAACCTGTAACCTGCCTGCCTGCCCTAGAGAGCCAAACCTGAAGACCTCACTCTGGAATCCACCAGCTGCTCTTAGGAAAGAGCTAATCACTCCAACCAAGGTCTTTTCACTGAAGTCAGAAGCTAGACGCTGCTGCTGCTCAAGCACTCTGCTGAACCAACAGTCTCTGGACCCAACCGGTTCCCTCTCTCAGAGCTAGCCTGGACCTCTTCAAGGTATCCGCTGAAATATCTGATAACCCATTTAACTCATCTGCTAACCCAGCTAACCAACTATCCGTCTCTGCAGACGCCAGAGAATCCTGCCCGGACCAGAACCTGAATCTTGTTCTTGTCATTTGTGTGAAACCTAAATAAACTCTGTTAAATCTTTTACCAAGTCTCCAGTGGTGTTCTGCATGTGGGTTTTATCTTAAAACCGATCATGACACTTTCAGAAATATTTTTGAAAAGGAAAAACAAGCCAAAAGAAATGATACCAAACACATTTCAAATTATTTTATTATTAACCCTTCATTTAGTAACATTGATTGAAAATGAGTTCTGCATTTTTTTTTTTCGTTTTGGAAAAGTAAAATTTATCACTTATGCTTTTTTTTTTCTAATAAATTATGTGCTTCAAATAATAAGGGCTGCAAGTCCATCAAGAATTACCCCAACTGTGGCCAAGCCTGCAAGTAAACGGTATATTTAGATTATTAACACTTAACACAATTCATATTTGTGATGCATTATTTTTCCTGTTAGAAACATTGAGCAGGGAGTCAAATATGGGGATTTTACCTGCTGATTGCAAAAGAGCAACAAGACATCATGCTGAAGGATTTTACCTGCTGAAGGGATTGTGCTCGTAGGCGGTGAACCGGCAGCAATCCCAGCTGAGGTGAAACCAATGGCTCCCAAAACCACAGGGGCCACCATCACGATGCCTACTAATGTGGACAAGGAAAACTTTATATTTAAAGAGACCGCTATGAAAACTCATTAAGACAAAACAACGTTAAATCTCACCTGCGCCTAGAGCAGTAGCTGCGAAAATAGCAACTAAAATGAAAAACAGAGAAAAGGGCATCAAACTGAAGCTCAGCAAGTATTTAAAAAGAATGACACATCATTTTCTGTCATGACTTAACTAGAACATGAATATGAGTAGGCCTATTTAAAGAAAGCCTATACTTACGGAGCCCCATGTCTACAGCTTCTTCTTTTCAGGTGATGTTTATTGGTGGCTGGGGAACAATGAATGAGCATCCATAGAAGTCTTGGCTTTATATAGGATGGATGTTTACAAGGTCACCTTATACAATCCTGCTCCTTTCATATACACTCACCGGCCACTTTATTAGGTACACCTGTCCAACTGCTCGTTAACACTTAATTTCTAAGCAGCCAATCACATGGCGGCAACTCAGTGCATTTAGGCACGTGGTCAAGACAATCTCCTGCAGTTCAAACCGAGCATCAGTATGGGGAAGAAAGGTGATTTGAGTGACTTTGAACGTGGCATGATTGTTGGTGCCAGAAGGGCTGGTCTGAGTATTTCAGAAACTGCTGATCTACTGGGATTTTCACGCACAACCATCTCTAGGGTTTACAGAGAATGGTCCGAAAAAGAAAAAACATCCAGTGAGCGGCAGTTCTGTGGGCGGAAATGCCTTGTTGATGCCAGAGGTCAGAGGAGAATGGCCAGACTGGTTTGAGCTGATAGAAGGGCAACAGTGACTCAAATAACCACCCATTACAACCAAGGTGGGCAGAAGAGCATCTCTGAACGCACAGTACGTCGAACTTTAAGGCAGATGGGCTACAGCAGCAGAAGACCACACCGGGTGCCATTCCTTTCAGCTAAGAACAGGAAACTGTTCTACAATTTGCACAAGCTCATCGAAATTGGACAATAGAAGATTGGAAAAACGTTGCCTGGTCTGATGAGTCTCGAATCCTGCTGCAACGTTCGGATGGTAGGGTCAGAATTTGGCGTCTACAACATGAAAGCATGGATCCATTCTGCCTTGTATCAACGGTTCAGGCTGGTGGTGGTGGTGTCATGGTGTGGGGAATATTTTCTTGGCACTCTTTGGGCCCCTTGGTACCAATTGAGCATCGTTGCAACGCCACAGCCTACCTGAGTATTGTTGCTGTCCATGTCCATCCCTTTATGACCATCCAACTTCTGATGGCTACTTTCAGCAGGATAATGCGCCATGTCAGACTGGTTTCTTGAACATGACAATGAGTTCACTGTACTCAAATGGCCTCCACGGTCACCAGATCTCAATCCAATAGAGCATCTTTGGGATGTGGTGGAACGGGAGATTTGCATCATGGATGTGCAGCCGACATATCTGCAGGCGCGCTGGAAGCTGTTTCAAGCGAGGGGGGCTGATGGCTGGGTTCGAAAACACATGACGTCATTATGTTGAGGGCTGTGGCTGACGTTTTTAACATATAACGAATATTGTAGGCCTACATTTGTCGCCAAAAACTGCCATTTAAAATGCATCGGAACAAAGCATGAACATTTTAAACTTTATTTCTTCTCTTTTAATCATTCAAAACAGACAACAGCTCCCAATCAACAGGATCAGGAATACTTGAATAAAACATGGCCTAAATATAGCCTAAACTGAGCATTGAACGTCTTGAAAGTCCATTCGACTACGGATATGGGGAATGATTTCTTATCTGAAACAAAAAACACACACACAAAAAAAAAAAAATTAACTAATTTCATATTTTGTCAATAAATAGCTTAATACAGACATAAAATTTAGTGATATGCAGCCTTATTCTAGCGTAGACTTCTTCAGCCTCAGGACTTAGATGAATAGGCACATAAATAATGCTAAATGCAGCAGTATAGGGGAATTAAAACCATTTCTTACCTCAAAATAGTCAGAAATACGTTTCTGCTGCCTATTGCTAGCCATGCCTAAACGAATGTGAGGTGGCGGAAGCCTCTGGGGGAGTAGCCTAGTTTTTTATGAAATATTAAAATAATGAATCATTAGTTTATATCTTATACACAGCCCATCATTTTAATCCCATATCAAACACAGTCTTTAAAAAAATAAATACATAAATAATTTCATGTTTTTAAGTACAATATTATGTTACTCCACAGCCCCCACCATGGGGGGCTGATGCTATGACGAGGGAGGCTGCAGCCCCCGCAGCACCCCCCTTCCCGTGCCACTGCATATCTGCGGCAACTGTGTGATGCCATCATGTCAATATGGACCAAACTCCCTGAGGAATGCTTCCAGCACCTTGTTGAATCTATGCCACGAAGAATTGAGGCAGTTCTGAAGGCAAAAGGGGTTCCAACCCGTTACCAGCATGGGGTACCTAATAAAGTGGCCGGTGAGTGTAAATGTGTACCTTCTGCTGCCCCCTGCTGTTCAGATATTGGTATTAGGTTTCATTTCTTAGTAAACAAAGGCGTCTCTCTGGTGCAATTGTTTTTTTCCTGAGAAATGAAAGCTTGTATTTCTAACACAGCCTCACTCTTACATCATCCAAACAACATCGAAAAATAACTAATGTCATAGTCACAAACATGGGGCAAAAAATCTCTCTCTACATTGTGTATTCTCTTTGCTGTTTATATTTCATAGAATTGAATAGAAAATCCCTTTATTGTCTCCTGAATGGGGAGATTGTGCTGTTGCAGCAGCAAAAGCATAACAGCAAATGTGGTCACCCACATGTGGACCTTATGAGTGTATAAAATTAACAGAATAAGTGACAGTTTAAAACTAAACACTACTATACTGTACAGTATTTTTACAAATATAAGTAGTGTGCAGAAAAAAAAATCAACATTATACTATACACAGGCAAATCCTTTATTTAAGGTGCAAGTAAGTTATAAGTTATTCCCTGACTTTAATTTGAAATACATCCCAATTTCACCATTAATTATTTTAAAGCTAAAAGCTTCATTGAGTCATGCTCCTTGTTCAAAGGTAAAGCAAATGTGGTTCTTACTCTGGCTATTCTGGCCACATCTCAGCTGGAATAGTTGCAGTGTCCATTGATGCAAAGCTGAAGCCATTGTCTGCCTTTGCTTACAGTGTAGGAGTTCTAGTTAGTTTTAGGCCCAATCCCAAACTGGCCCCTAAACACTACCCCTTACCTTAACAATGGAGTGTCACACCCAATGAAGTAACACTCAAAGCTGTTAGAGCATGCCTTGACTCAAGATGAGAGGGAGGGACAAATGAGAATGGGACAGCATCTTCCCATCACTGAAAAGGAAAAAGACTGTTGCTATGGCAACACAGTGACGCCCCATGAGCATGGCTTTAGTTCTGTGGTGCAGGTTGACATGACATCAATCCTTTCAAAATACATTTCTACAGTCAAATAAAACTACTTAAAAGATGAACTACACTTTTGGAATTCATTTGTTTTTTTCTTTTTCCAAACGTGTGATTCTCTCCTGGTTTGACAAAGATGCAGCAAACCAGCGGAACTTACATTTGAAGGTGCGTCTTTCCTCCGACATTAGTTCGCCGTTAGCCCCATTTGCAGTGAGTCTGTACTGATGTAGGCCCTTAATATGGCGGACACTCCAGAGAACGAGCAAACAGAGGGTTAGTGTTTAGTGGCAAATTTAGGATTGGGCCTTAGTATCTGTCTGAGAACGTTTTTTTTTACTCTGATAAAAAAAAATATGCAAACCAGTAAGAAAAAGTTCTATTGGAGGAGTAATTTACAAATTTGTGTGTAAAGGCCAGTAGTGCTACAAAACCTTATCTGTAAGATAGATAGATAGATAGATAGATAGATAGATAGATAGATAGATAGATAGATAGATAGATAGATAGATAGATAGATAGATAGATAGATAGATAGATAGATAGATAGATAGATTTAAGCATTTGCAATGTATTGTAAAGGGGCAAAACAGCATTTATTAGGAACTATTTTTCTGAACTCTACACATGTCCTAATAAATAGTCTCTGGAATGAAAATTATCTAATGCAACTGAAATACTTTATTTTGCTTTAAATATATATGTTGTTGATTGTTTTATATTAAATGTTGCCGTTTGTATTTACTAAATGAGGAGCTTCTTGCTTATCATTCATCGCTTTTGTCACTGTGAACATAAGTTGGAGACATAACATACGTCAACTGCTTATATATTTGCTCAGTGAATCAATAGCAATAGAAAGAGTCTCTGGCAATCGTTTCTCCAATATCGGATTCAGTTTAGGGGACCAATAAACATAAGACCCAAAATGCTCCTAGTGTTCAGATTACTGTGTTCAGTTGCAAGACATGTTTCTACCTGCTATTTCACAGAAGTTGGGATAACTTTAGAGAACTTGCCGGGATATTGCTGGAATATTAACCTTATAATATGCATAAAAAGCTGAAGAATAGCTGCACCTCCTGAAATGACAGTATTTGTTTCCAAAACACAAGAAGTTCATTATCTCCCCTTTTGCCAACATATATCAAACTAACCCATCAGTAGAAGGAAAACAATAACACATCCTAAAGAGGTTTGAATCAATCCTTAAGTAAAATTCAAAGGAGTCATTGTTTTTTCATCTTTGTTTAATTGTAAAAATATTTTAAAAACTTGATAAGTTAAGCAATCTCTCCATCCCTTTATGACCATCCAACTTCTGATGGCTACTTTCAGCAGGATAATGCGCCATGTCAGACTGGTTTCTTGAACATGACAATGAGTTCACTGTACTCAAATGGCCTCCACGGTCACCAGATCTCAATCCAATAGAGCATCTTTGGGATGTGGTGGAACGGGAGATTTGCATCATGGATGTGCAGCCGACATATCTGCAGGCGCGCTGGAAGCTGTTTCAAGCGAGGGGGGGCTGATGGCTGGGTTCGAAAACACATGACGTCATTATGTTGAGGGCTGTGGCTGACGTTTTTAACATATAACGAATATTGTAGGCCTACATTTGTCGCCAAAAACTGCCATTTAAAATGCATCGGAACAAAGCATGAACATTTTAAACTTTATTTCTTCTCTTTTAATCATTCAAAACAGACAACAGCTCCCAATCAACAGGATCAGGAATACTTGAATAAAACATGGCCTAAATATAGCCTAAACTGAGCATTGAACGTCTTGAAAGTCCATTCGACTACGGATATGGGGAATGATTTCTTATCTGAAACAAAAAACACACACACAAAAAAAAAAAATTAACTAATTTCATATTTTGTCAATAAATAGCTTAATACAGACATAAAATTTAGTGATATGCAGCCTTATTCTAGCGTAGACTTCTTCAGCCTCAGGACTTAGATGAATAGGCACATAAATAATGCTAAATGCAGCAGTATAGGGGAATTAAAACCATTTCTTACCTCAAAATAGTCAGAAATACGTTTCTGCTGCCTATTGCTAGCCATGCCTAAACGAATGTGAGGTGGCGGAAGCCTCTGGGGGAGTAGCCTAGTTTTTTATGAAATATTAAAATAATGAATCATTAGTTTATATCTTATACACAGCCCATCATTTTAATCCCATATCAAACACAGTCTTTAAAAAAATAAATACATAAATAATTTCATGTTTTTAAGTACAATATTATGTTACTCCACAGCCCCCACCATGGGGGGCTGATGCTATGACGAGGGAGGCTGCAGCCCCCGCAGCACCCCCCTTCCCGTGCCACTGCATATCTGCGGCAACTGTGTGATGCCATCATGTCAATATGGACCAAACTCCCTGAGGAATGCTTCCAGCACCTTGTTGAATCTATGCCACGAAGAATTGAGGCAGTTCTGAAGGCAAAAGGGGGTCCAACCCGTTACCAGCATGGGGTACCTAATAAAGTGGCCGGTGAGTGTAAATGTGTACCTTCTGCTGCCCCCTGCTGTTCAGATATTGGTATTAGGTTTCATTTCTTAGTAAACAAAGGCGTCTCTCTGGTGCAATTGTTTTTTTCCTGAGAAATGAAAGCTTGTATTTCTAACACAGCCTCACTCTTACATCATCCAAACAACATCGAAAAATAACTAATGTCATAGTCACAAACATGGGGCAAAAAATCTCTCTCTACATTGTGTATTCTCTTTGCTGTTTATATTTCATAGAATTGAATAGAAAATCCCTTTATTGTCTCCTGAATGGGGAGATTGTGCTGTTGCAGCAGCAAAAGCATAACAGCAAATGTGGTCACCCACATGTGGACCTTATGAGTGTATAAAATTAACAGAATAAGTGACAGTTTAAAACTAAACACTACTATACTGTACAGTATTTTTACAAATATAAGTAGTGTGCAGAAAAAAAATCAACATTATACTATACACAGGCAAATCCTTTATTTAAGGTGCAAGTAAGTTATAAGTTATTCCCTGACTTTAATTTGAAATACATCCCAATTTCACCATTAATTATTTTAAAGCTAAAAGCTTCATTGAGTCATGCTCCTTGTTCAAAGGTAAAGCAAATGTGGTTCTTACTCTGGCTATTCTGGCCACATCTCAGCTGGAATAGTTGCAGTGTCCATTGATGCAAAGCTGAAGCCATTGTCTGCCTTTGCTTACAGTGTAGGAGTTCTAGTTAGTTTTAGGCCCAATCCCAAACTGGCCCCTAAACACTACCCCTTAACAATGGAGTGTCACACCCAATGAAGTAACACTCAAAGCTGTTAGAGCATGCCTTGACTCAAGATGAGAGGGAGGGACAAATGAGAATGGGACAGCATCTTCCCATCACTGAAAAGGAAAAAGACTGTTGCTATGGCAACACAGTGACGCCCCATGAGCATGGCTTTAGTTCTGTGGTGCAGGTTGACATGACATCAATCCTTTCAAAATACATTTCTACAGTCAAATAAAACTACTTAAAAGATGAACTACACTTTTGGAATTCATTTGTTTTTTTCTTTTTCCAAACGTGTGATTCTCTCCTGGTTTGACAAAGATGCAGCAAACCAGCGGAACTTACATTTGAAGGTGCGTCTTTCCTCCGACATTAGTTCGCCGTTAGCCCCATTTGCAGTGAGTCTGTACTGATGTAGGCCCTTAATATGGCGGACACTCCAGAGAACGAGCAAACAGAGGGTTAGTGTTTAGTGGCAAATTTAGGATTGGGCCTTAGTATCTGTCTGAGAACGTTTTTTTTGACTCTGATAAAAAAAAATATGCAAACCAGTAAGAAAAAGTTCTATTGGAGGAGTAATTTACAAATTTGTGTGTAAAGGCCAGTAGTGCTACAAAACCTTATCTGTAAGATAGATAGATAGATAGATAGATAGATAGATAGATAGATAGATAGATTTAAGCATTTGCAATGTATTGTAAAGGGGCAAAACAGCATTTATTAGGAACTATTTTTCTGAACTCTACACATGTCCTAATAAATAGTCTCTGGAATGAAAATTATCTAATGCAACTGAAATACTTTATTTTGCTTTAAATATATATGTTGTTGATTGTTTTATATTAAATGTTGCCGTTTGTATTTACTAAATGAGGAGCTTCTTGCTTATCATTCATCGCTTTTGTCACTGTGAACATAAGTTGGAGACATAACATACGTCAACTGCTTATATATTTGCTCAGTGAATCAATAGCAATAGAAAGAGTCTCTGGCAATCGTTTCTCCAATATCGGATTCAGTTTAGGGGACCAATAAACATAAGACCCAAAATGCTCCTAGTGTTCAGATTACTGTGTTCAGTTGCAAGACATGTTTCTACCTGCTATTTCACAGAAGTTGGGATAACTTTAGAGAACTTGCCGGGATATTGCTGGAATATTAACCTTATAATATGCATAAAAAGCTGAAGAATAGCTGCACCTCCTGAAATGACAGTATTTGTTTCCAAAGCACAAGAAGTTCATTATCTCCCCTTTTGCCAACATATATCAAACTAACCCATCAGTAGAAGGAAAACAAAAGCACATCCTAAAGAGGTTTGAATCAATCCTTAAGTAAAATTCAAAGGAGTCATTGTTGTTTCATCTTTGTTTAATTGTAAAAATATTTTAAAAACTTGATAAGTTAAGCAATCTCTCAGCAAGAGGCGTTCTCTGGAGAGATTAAAATCAAACAAATGCACTGTGAAATTAAATTAACTCATAAATTCAGTACAGCCTACTTGTGGCTAGGATTTGAAGCAGAATACTGCTGAAAAGTATCATCTTTCGCGGAAAAATCAATAATGCGATATAATTGAAACTTGATGCTGCATTTACTGTCCCTCGGAGGTATTATGAAACTAACCCTGCTCATAAGAGAAAAAGACAGCCTTGATAGCTATCTCAGTTTTTTTTTTTTTATTATTTGGCCAAAATGTTTGAGACACATCTTGACCAAATAAAATATCTTACAAATTTCACTTTTTGTACAATGTTATGTCTATCCCGCTCCACAAAATAAAACTGAGGCTCCAGTCGTTCCTGAATGCTGCATGATGTTTCAAGAGTCAAAGCTCCCATCATCAAACAAATAAGGTAAAATAATATTCAGGAGATCTGACAATATAAAGCACAAAACTTGAGAATAAATGATAAAGCTCATAAATACTTTTAGATTTCCTCAACATGCCATCATCTAAGGGGTAAGTTTCTTTTCTTTTAGTGTTTTTGTTTTAGCTACTAAATATTGAGGGAGCTGGTATGAAGTCAACTGGCTTTATGTTAATGATCTATCTCCATAATGTGTAAGAAGTTGGCTTAAACTATCAATCAACCAAATCACTGTTTTGTTTCTGTCTGTGCAGGAGATGTAGCTATGATGATTTCTTGGAAATCTTACAACGCTGTGTGGAAAAAGTACAAAGGAGAATACAGGATTATGGTGGAATCAACTTTAACTTGAATAAAAATGTCAGGCTTTGATAGAAAAATTATTTTCACTGGAGTAAAGCTGAATCCTAAATGAGAAGGTCTGGACTGTTAACGTTACAGAAACATATTTTCTCTCATACAGATGAACTAGGTTCCCAACAAAGCTTCAGGTAATAGCTGTGAAGTTCAGGGAAACTGCAGGCTGTTTAATGAGAGGCTGATGCACCTCTGTCCATTATAACATTTAAGAAATTCTGAAAAAATTAGTATGGGACAATTTCTTGTCCTTTTCCTTCATCATCATCATCATCATCACTATCTTTTTCTCCTTTCATCTGATCCTTTCTCATCATCTTCTCCTCCTGCTTCTTCTCTTCCTTGTCCCCAGCTTTCTCTTTCTCCTCCTGTGGATTACCTGGCGGACTTCCTGCAGCAGCTCCAAGACCAGCACCAATGCCAGCACCAACACTGGCCACAGCTGCAGAGGCGGTCGCTGAGAGACCAGCAGCACCTGCAGAAAACCAAACATCTCCAAGTTTTTTCAAATGTTCAAACAACAGATGAACTCTGATGGGTGCAACCAATTTAACAAAGCCAGACCGTGTATTTGCTGGTTGATTCACAGATTAAGCTTAAAGTAGCCTACTAGATCCTAGATTTAACTTTAAAGTGCTCAGTTGGGAATTTTTATGCCAAATTATAAATGTGTCTGTCCATACATTTGGTTTCTTTGTTTTTTTTTTTTTTTAGGTCCACTCTATGAAGCCTCAAACTCAACCCTATTTCTGACATTTTGAATTGAAAAAGCTTCCTGGATGGGAAGCGGATCGTCTTCAAACCTGGAAACAAAGTGCAGTGGATTGTTTTTGACTTTTTTGGAATGACTATGACCTGGATTACTGAAAATCTTCACCAGCAAACTAGGAATATGATCCCAACCAAAGACATCCTATTTTGAACAGAACTTTACTTGTTCTTGATTTCTGCAGTAATTCAGTTAAATCCAGCCAATGTACCTGCAGATTGTAGAACAGCCACCAGACTTCCTGCTGCCACCGCTCCTCCGTTGGCAACGGCAGCAGCAGACATCATGCTTGCAGCAAAGGAGCCTCCTGCTATCCCAGCTGAGGTGAAACCAATGGCTCCCAGAACCACAGGAGCCAAGGCCACCGCACCCAGTCCTCCCATCACTCAAGAACAAGAAATATTTAACATTAAAACTTGTTTAACACTTGCGACATCTTTTTCTTTATAGTTTGTTCTTTTGTAGGATGCTTTGTTTTTAATCATTATTTTGTTAGTGATCCAGTTTAGACCAAACACCAGCTGCCAAAGATACATGATTCACATTTAGATGTACATTATTTCCCTCACTGATCATTGGCTCAATTAGTAACAGATAGTATTTTTGTCAATTTTTTGCATTTGGTTTTTGACAAACATGCTGCTGAAGTTTATGAGGAAGCCTTTCTGTTTTAGCGTTGACTGTTCAAAGGACACTGACCATCCAAAAGACTTCAGGTTAATTTAACTGCATTTCACAAACCTAAGGTGTCCTGTGATACTTTTAGAAAGGAGAAAGGTTCTCCATATTCCCCATCGGTGGATTGATGAGTCCTGATCTTGTTTTGAAATTCATGCAATGTCAAACTCCTGCAGAAGATTGGTTAATTTCTCAAATGCTTTACAAGTTTAAATAATCACTCTGAATGTAGAAATATAAACCGTTTGGACACCTGTCCTAGATTGACGCAATTGTATAGAAAACATTTCTGAAGTTTTAATCTAAATACCTTGTTTGCAGAAGTAAAACTATATTATTTATTGTCCAGGTAATTTACCCAAAGTATAGACCAATTTATTTGTGGTATTTACAAATAATTATATAAAATCCTTATTTCTGACCACTTGCCACCAAGCTGATATATTATATTTTTGACATCTTTTAAAGTAGAGCATGTATGCAGTGGCTCCCAAAGTGGGGGGATCTAAATCTTGAAATAAATGCATCTTTTAGAACTTTTATACAAACTTTTTATGAATATTTTTTCGACCTTTGAAGCTTTGGTGATCATAATTTATAAGTTATACTTTTAATGTATAATGATTCAGGTCATACTTTGTTACCTCAGTTTTATTTCTCTAGTAAAAACTTTCTCTTACGGTTACAGATCTGAGTGACGCCACAATAATAAAAAAATTTAAAAAATTCAAACTTAAATCATACCTGTACCTCCTACAATGGCGACAGACTTCCCTGAAACACAAGAATAATATAAAAATTTAGTTTTAATCTAGGGCCTGTAGTAAACAGATAGAAAGATTGACTTGTCTGGGCTACAAGGAGTTTTAGCTCCAGCAGATGTCAGTATTTGCCTAAATTTTGTCATGTTATTTTGTAATGAATCATAAAAACAGAGATAGTTTCTTTCTTTCATTGGGCAGTACTGTTATCTTCTGACAGATGCTTTAATCCTTTTTTCAGAAACAAACGTCAAGGAAGCTGTTTTAAAATCAAAATGTGTAAGGCTGTGAAGAATTTTGGGCTTCATTCAATTTAAATCAGTTTATTTGCATAGCGGCAATTCACAACACATCATCTAAAAACACTTTAATCTGAAAAACTCACACGAAGAGAAAAGACAATTAAGAGAAATTAATTTATATAATTACTTTTTTTTTGGTGCTCAGACCTCGGCAGGAAACATAGTGCTTAATTTTGATAGATATGCATGAACAGGAGCAAAGAATAGGGCTGTTTACCCCCAGGCCTGAAACTGGTGGTGGAGTGGAGATAGATGAAGGTGGTCAGTCTGTAGACTGCTGGTTAGTGAGACGGTATGCTGAGCTTTATGGAAAGATCCAGTGGATTGCATGAGCTGATACTAGAGCTTCACTCAGGGACCTGGAAGATGGAAGCCCAGTTTGGATAAAACAGGTTGAGAGAACCTGTCCATGCATGAAGCGACAGTGGAGAGGAAAAACTCCCATTAGGATACCTCTGGCAAAACCAGGCTCAACATGGTGGTCTTCTGCCAGACCGGTTGAGATGAGACAGGAAACGCAGTAAGAGTCCAAGAGGAATGACACTCTGATGAAGCTTTAGCTGCGATGGTGGTTGAGGGGCTGGAGGTGGGTTAAATTGGTGTCATCTAAATGAAGTCAAAAAGCACATCCGCAGCCTGCGCACAGGAGCAGACAGTTGCGTATCGGAGGCCTTTTAAGATGAACTTTCTATGCCGATTGGCTTTCGTGGAGGTGTGGTGAGGAAAAACTCCCTTTTAATAGGAAGAATCCTCCAGCAGAACGAGGCTCAGTGTGAGCAGCCATCTGCCGAGGCCGACCAAGTCCAGCAGCAGATTTTTTCCTTTAGAAGATGAAACTTCCTCCAATTTCTGTTGAAAGCCTTTTACTTCTGCACAACAGAGCACATCCTGAAGTACTGGTGTAGTTTCATAAGTAAGCAGTGCGTCCAACACCCCCCAAAAAAAGAAAAACAAAACAACTACTGCAGGTCAACTAGACTTTTCAGTGGCTTCCTACTCCCACAAGTACAGATGTACTAGAGCTGACTCCTCAGATTGAGTCATTAAGATCCGGGACAACCCAGCCCCCCAGGACATTATCTTTACATCAACCATTTATCAAACAACATTCTTTACTGTATCTGACATTAACGTTGATGAAAAGAAAGTTAATTGTATGTTGAAAAATCAACCTGTCTGTATTTGGGACAGAGAGGAAAACGTACAGATGACCGAATGTATGTGAATAATGGCTGAGGCAAACAATTTATCACAGATTTTCTCATTTTTATGACCAAGTTCAGCTGAATTTATGATGTAGAATAATCCAGAAAGACTGCAATATATAGAACAGTTCCATGTCGTATAATTTACATTTTATCACCGTATTCATTCTTGACTCAATCTTACCTGATATCCAAGAAAAGTAGCCTTTATTTCTTTTTTCTGCTTCTGAGTTTTCCCCAGGAGAGTCCTGGGCTGGAGGCTGCTGCTGCTGGGGGTCTAAAGGGAGCAAACCATGTGATATTTATCATCCCTCTGTTTAGCAACACATTAAACTATTTGTTCCCATTCATGTCGATGAAATTCAGTTATTAGGTGGCTAAAAAGTTTACCTTCTTATCAAAAAAAAATTAACATAAATAATGTGTTAGCATGTGAATGTGCATCTAACATGAAGCAAGGGCCATAAAGGCAAGTAAAAGTCAAAACTTTAACATTCTACTGTGCCATATTTATCTGATACAAAATATTGATTATTGCTAATAGATGTAAAACAGTTTTAGTGAATTTGCATCATCAAGTCTAACTGTGATGGATCTTGATGGGCATTTAGAAATAATTACAAAATTAATTCAAGCATTAAAAGAAGCAGAGCAATGACTGTTTGGTTTTGCTATCATTTTGAAATGTCAAATATGCACAAACAAATAAATCAGTTTTCTTTTAATAAGAACATAAATAAAATTGTCAAATCCTGAAAGAAAACAGATTTTGATAGTGATGTTATGTTGAATTTGCACTTCAGCCCAACATAAAACTTTTTTTCCATCTAGAAATGAAGTAATTTCTTAATCTGATGAATGACTGCTATGCTGACAAATATTGTTATAATTGGCTTTGAATTGTCCATTTTAATCACTTGATATAACTTTCATTTCATGTTAGATATTAACACCTTTGTCATTGCATTACTAAATTGAATATATTAAAAACAAATAAAAAGGAAAAATATTTATTCTATTTGTATCTATTTTAAATTATAGGATTATAGGATCTCATCTCAATTTAGCTCAGGCTGCTGCATGCAGAATGTGCAAGTCTGTTTTATTTATCAAAAAATCAGCTGTTCTGGTGTGATGTTCTCTTTGATTCCAGTTTTAAATAATTACGCTTCCGTAGACTACAAAATATTCAGCACATCAAATTTTTTTCCCATTTCTGTGTCTGTGCCACACACAAATTAAAACAATTGCCCACATTTGACATGGACAGATTATGAAAAGTTATTAATAATAAATAAACAAATATATAACCACTGGCACAGATATAAAGTAAAGCCCCACTTATTGACTTTGTGCAGCATCTCAAAGCAGAACAGATAGAGAATTCGTATAGGACTATATTAAAAACAGAATGGGAACTGCATCTAAAGAAAAGAAAAGAAAATAATAATAAATGCTGGGATATCTGTAAAGTTTGTCAAAGTTTTTGTTTTCCTCTTTTTATCATAAATGATATCTGCATATCAATTTTCCGTCTTCCTGTCCTCATATCATGAGTAAAGTATTTTATTTTTTAATTTTTCATTAAAGTTTTTTTACAAGGGTCTGTCCTGCTTGCTAATATACCAGATGTGTGACTTGAAACCTGACTGTTTCCCATTGCAATTGATCTTATTTTATATTTTTCTCCAAAGTGGAAAAGTAAAATTATATACCAGATCAAAAAATAAATAAGACCTAGATTCTTATGAAATAGAAAGTAAAAACAACTTATCAGACTCCAAATTTCAAATTAAACGTCTTTGTTTAGGTGTGTGTGTTAGATAAAAAGGGGGTGTTTGAAAGAGCACCGTCTTCTTTCTTGGATTCTTGCAAAAACGAAACTGATTCATGGCTGATCTGAACCTGACCAATTTTAGATGGCATTTGACGGGAGAAAAGCGGTGCCAGAGCTGCTCCTTATTTTTAAAAGCTGACGTCAAAACAAAAGCAAGCTTTGATTTTCCAGATATAAAATGTTAATTTTACCCAATTCAATGACCGATTAAGACTACTTTAAGCGTTTAATGAACCAGATGTAGGCTACTCACCCATGTCAGCACGATCCGCACAGTAGTGAAGTTATGAGATCAACCGAGGCTTCCAATAACCCCTAACTGTAGAGAGCACAGCAGGGCGAGGCTCAACGGTGAATCAAGTCCGGCCGGATCTGTGACTCAGGCGTGTTTTTTGCGCCATCTAGTGGCGGAAATTCTTCTTCTTCTTATGGGGTTTTATGGCGGTTGGCAGACTTGTGAATTGTGCATTACCGCCACCAACTGATATGGAGTAAAGCAAGAAAACAGAAAACGATTCACCCCCCCCCCCCCCCCCCAAAAAAAAAAAAAAAAAAAAAAAAAAAAAAAAAAAAAAAAAAAAAAAAAAAAAAAAAAACCTGTGTAACTTAAACCAACATAATACTAAATCACATTTGCCCATATAATTTTTAATTTACTCTAGGTCATCTTAACTCTGCCAGTTTCTGATGGTCCCATCGGTCCTCCCATCATACTTCCAACCATCTCCCAGTTCAAATCTTTAATGTCCAGATATTTTTCTGCAGCCTTCACTATTATTTTGATTTTTTCCGTTTTTTTTGTTGTCTGTGCAGTACAATTAATTACTTCTACCATGAAAAGAACAAAATTTGTCTTTTTAACAATAAGTGAGTCTTCATCAATTTTTTGATTCTCTAGAGGTTTGGAATTTGCCGTGTGTTGAACTGTAGGTTTGGGTTTTTCTGACTGAGATGGGATCCTTTTTGCAGCTTCAGCGTAGGTTATTCCGAGCTCAAATTTCATTTTTTTAATTTCCTCAGACCTTTTGCTTGCTTCACAGCCGCGATAGGCAGCAGTATGTTCTCCACCACAATTACAGCATTTTATTTTAGCTTCTTTTCCACATTTTCCGTACTCATGTTCTCCTGCACACCTTCCACACCTCTGTTTCCCTTTACAAACTGCTGCAATGTGACCGAATTTTTGGCATTTGAAACATCTCAATGGTGGAGGATTGTAGATTTTGACATTATAGCTTATGTAACCGATGAATACTTTGCTTGGTAATTGCTCTTCCTCAAATTTAATTAGCACTGATAAACTGTCAGATCTTTCTCCGTTTCTTGTTGTTTTTTAACCGTTTTACTTCTTTTACTTTTGCACCGCTTATGTTTTCCAGAATCTCTTTTTCAGAAATTTTTAGAGGAACTCCTCCAATGACTCCCCTGCTGATCTTTTTGTTCTCCATTAGGCTGCACTGAACTCTTATCCCGTCAATTTTGTTGATCCGTATTGCTTTGCCTTGCTGGGCGCTGTCTCTGCAGTTAATTAGCAGGTCTCCACTGTACAGAATTCTGGCACCTCTGACTTCTCCGACAAGTTTATTGATGGTTTTTGTTAAGTGAACCGGATTCCAATTTGTAAAAGAGTCTGCCTGATTAACGACTTTGAATATGACTTTGAATTCATTTTGTTGTGCTGTGGAATGTATGGAATGATCATCACTGGATTGTTCTGAACTAGATTCCCCTTGAACTGATCTCTGTTTTTTCCGCTTTTTCTCATTTTTTGATGTTGCTATCTTCCAACCTTCATTGTCACTATTTCCCTCTTCCATCCCACAAGAATCGCTTCCTGTTTCCTCACTACTCACGGCCCAAGACATTTCTCCATAAGCAGCTTCAAAACACGCGCCATGCACCAAACGACCATCCACATGCCAAAGGGCTCCAAGTGGCGGAAATTATTCAACCCTTTACTTCTTCTTCTTCTTCTTCTTCTTCTTCTTGTCGAGTTTTATGGCGGTTGGCAACAAACTGTTAGTAGCATTACCGCCACTTACTGGTATGGAGTGTGGTTCGTGATGGTTTAAATATCTATCCTGATACATTCTACCCTAACTTCTTTTAAACATACATTCACACATTCACACTTAAAAATATATTTGTGCACAGTTTTGTATATAATTCCTTCACTCACAAACACACTTACCATAATTAAATTCTATGGAATAATTTCGTTTTCTTTAGAAATCGAATAATTATTTGTATGTGTTTACTCCCTAAATTTTTCCTCAGTATATCTAATAAATTAACCTTCTCCTTAATGTCTCCAAACTCTCTTCTCATATATCTTCTCTCTTTTTCATATTTATGACATTCTAATATAACATGTTCTATGGTTTCATATTTATCACAGAAATCACATTTGCCCATTTTATGTTTTTGTATTTTAAAAAGTGTATAATTAAGTCCTGTATGACCAAATCTTAACCTTGTTATCACTCTTTCATCCTTTCTATTTCTTCTTCCATTTCTTCTTTCTCCTACCATCTTCTGAATTTTATAAAACCATCTTCCTGTTTTATCTTCATCCCACCTTTTTTGCCAAATTTCCATAAGTTTCTCTTTAATAATACTCTTTCCTTCTGATTTACTTATTTTAACTATAAAACTAATAGAATGTTTAATTGCCCTTTTTGCCATTTTATCTGCCCTCTCGTTTCCTTCTACCCCATTATGTGCTGGAACCCACACAAATGTAACTATCAGCCCCATGTTTCGTATTCTGAACAGTGTATGATTTATTTCTAATAAAATGTCCATCCAACTTATCTTTTATTATTTTTTAAACTTAACAATGCAGAGCTTGAATCTGAACATATTATTGTTTTTATTGGTTTTATGTCTTCTACCCATTGTAACGCTAATAATATTGCCAACATTTCCCCTGTGTATACTGATAATCCATCTGTAATTCGTTTTCCTATTTTTATATTGAATTCTGGTACTACAAATGCTATTCCTAGTTTCTCAGTTATTTTTGATGCATCAGTATAAATTTGAATATATTGATAATAACTGTCTAAATGTAACTGTACTAAATTAATATCTACCGTGTACGATTTATCTTGTTTCTTTTCCATTAGTGACATATCTACTGTTGCTTCTGGTAGAATCCAGGGAGGTATAATTGATATTGGTGTTGTTTGACTCATTTCTAAACTATTCATTTTAATTTTTTTTTTTTTTTTTTCAATTGTCCATCCAAAACTCCTCATTTCTTTCTTTTCTTTTTCCCAGCATGGATTTAAAATGTCCAAAGTTGGGTGATCCACATTATTTCCTTGTAAATTTAACCAGTAATTAATTTCTAATTTTGTTCTGCTTAAATCTAATGGCATTTCTCCCATTTCTATTTCTAATGCTGCTGTTGGTGTGGTTTTAAATGTTCCAGTACATAATCTTAGTGCCTGATGTTGGATAATGTCTAATTTGGTTAGATGTGTTTTAGCTGCTGAACCGTACACTAAACAACCAAAGTCTATGGGCCGGATTTATCAAGATCCAATTTTGCGTGCAGTAATTTGCGCTCGCAAACTGGAATTTTGCGCGAGGGGCTGAACCATGGTTTGCGGGTGATTTAACAAGAGCGATTGCGTAACTGGTGGCAGGTGCAAAACTGTTGGAGACGCCCTACACTGTAAACCCAGATTTTGTTTGTACTCAAAGAAACTGAGTTCATAGTACTTAGAGAGGTCTAATTTACTGACATTACTTGTTTATTTCAATTAAGCTGAACTTTTTTATGTCCTTTTTCAGTGTAATTATATTTTTAAGTACAGTCAATGGTTTGGACTTAAACAAACTAAGTTAGTATCACTAAATTCTTTATATTAACTATTTTTTCTGAGTAAACACCACTTTCCAATGATCTAGCTTATTGTAATTATGTATTTGAGCTCAGACAACTCAATATCATTAGTTTGCCTCTCACGTCATCCACCTGCCCGCGAAAAATCCGGTTTAGACCAGTTTTGAGCGAGTGAAATAGAAAAGCTGGCACTGAGGAACTCCGAAGCATTTTGAGACAAAACAGACGACAGCGTTATTGAGATCTTCAACAACTCATAACAAGGAAGTCATTCCACAGAGATTTAAAGCACTCGGTGAATGAAGTGAGTTCAGCCACAAAACGGTAAGTTTAATCTCTTGTTTTGCTACAGTACTTAGCAAAGGCTACTTAGCTAATGTTAGCTTGTTAGTTATCTTGCTTGGTTAGAAAAGCTATTTTTCAGTTACTTTAAGAAGCTTTACTCTATTAACTGTAATTTTCCTTACTCCACAGAAGGAAATGATTGTTTAACTGGTTCTTTTTCATTTATGTTGATGTGATTTGTATGCATACATAAAAAGGCACCATCCAAAACTGTATCATGTGCCTCTTATCATTTTTTAACTCCTTTTGCACTAATTTCTGAACTAGGCAGGGGGTGAACTCTATACAGGGCTGCATAACAGTAAAGGCTGTTGACTGCAAGATGTTAACAAAGTCATGTACTGTTATTTCTTTCAGGACAATGATGAAGAAAGTTTGCACAACAATGTTCCTGTGGGGGTCCTCCGCAATGAACAAGAAAATATAACTCCACACAAGCAGTCCATTCACCATAATGTATCCTCAGTGGGAATTATCCTGGAGGGAAATGTAGTGATGGAAGTTGAGAGCCTTCCGCAGGCCATGTACACGGTCTTTGGACTTACCTATGCACTCCATCTCAGCTACCCAAAGTACATGAAGAACACCTTTGATTTTTTTCAGCAGGTACTTCTTAACTTGGGTAAGACAGATCTGAGGCCTAAACTTCAAACACTTAAAAATCAGCTTGCCATGTAAGATCCAAGATCTGCTCATTTAAAATCTTTTGGGCTTTGAATTTTCTTTTGTTGATACAAATAAAATGTTCAATGAAAACAATAAAAAGTTGAAGTGAAATGTATTTTGTACAGCTCTATTAATTTAACACGTTTTGAGTTTTGTGAACTAAAAAATATAAGTTTGGTCAATTTGAATACACAATTGAATTGAACTAAAATGCAGTAATGCCTACTTAACAAGCTAAGTTTAATTGACAGGTGTTAAGCTGTTGCTCCAACTACATATCGTCAGTTACTACAACTTGATTACCAGTAAATACAACTTAAATATTCTATTCCAATCCATTAGGTGCTCAAGTACATTTAACATAGTTTACTGCACTCATACAACTAATACCACATTACTTAAATTTTTTAAGGCAACGAGTTACCTTGATTTTTTTAAGTACATTCTACTTATCCGGGTTTACAGTGTATTTAAATGATGGTTTTGCGCGT